AGTAGAGACAGGGTTTCACTATGTTTGTCAGGCTGGTCTAGAACTCCTGACCTCGTGATCTGCCCGCTTCAGCCTCCCAAAGTGCTGGGATTACAGGGGTGAGCCACTGTGCCCGGCTGAGATTTTTTTTCATCATACATTATTCAGAAATGGATTATGGCTCAAATGTTGACTTGTAGATTATCCATTTACAATTATTTACAACTCAGAAGGCATTTCCTCCAAAAATCAATGTTATAGGTATGGTTTTTGGGTCAGCTCTCAAAAGCCTATTTATTCTGAACTCTGCAACTAAATTACAGACTCAGTCACCAGTCTAACAATTTCCATAGGAAAATCCTCTTTTGAGCTGCAACCCGACACAGGTGGAACCCACTCTTGCCATGTTTATTTCTGCACCATGTCCAGGGAACTTCCATAGCTTTCTTATGCAGTGGTTCTTTCTTGAACATGTCTCCTGTTTCCTCATTACCAAAAAACCCACTGAAAGGACAGGGAATTGTGTCCCTCCTTGTATGTCCAGCCCTTGGCAAAGATAATACTCAACAAACATTTGTTGGGTATCTCTCTCCCTTCTCTGTGATGTGAATGGACACACCCAACACTCTTCCTCCTACCTCGATAGTGGGACTAAAGAAGGTTGCCCAATGCTGTTGTTGGCAGGCTGGTTGCAAAGGCACAGAGCCTGGTTGTAACAGCTCCTACAGCAGGAGGCTCCTGACAAGTGCCCAAAGAAGCGTTTGTGGCCTCAGGTTTCAGCAGTGGCAAATTCAAGGGTAACAACATAACACAGGGATTCCAGCAGGAAAGAAGGTGAGAAATAGCCATATGTGAAAGGATTCTGTTGCACCATACTGGTGCTAGGTGCCAGAACCAGCTAAATAATTTCTCGGTCCAGTGCAAAATAAAAATGCACGACCTCTTGTTCAGAAAGTATGGAGAATATTAAGATGTTGGGAGAGCAGCATTAAACCAATGGTGAGGCCCTTTGGATGGTGGATCCCCATGCAAATGCACAGGTCATATACTCATGAAGTAGACTTTGCCTCAAACATAATGCCTCATTTAATTCTTTCACGACCCTGTCTCAAAAAGATAAAGTTGCTCAAAGGTCTCTCTGCTAGTAAGTGGTTGAGACTGCCTCTGGAACCAATTTATTTTAATATAAAATGTATATTTTTACCAGAGCCAATGTATACATGTGAGATTTATCACAATGGGTCTTTTTTCATCTTTTGGTCAATTTTATGCACATCTATTTCCATCGCTTGTTTATTGAAATATTGAAAGCATGCTAATTTGGAGCACTGTTTCCCAAAGGAAAGCAGGCACTTTTATTTATTTTTTATGTGCTTATTTATTTATTACAAGGCATAATAACAACCTCACATAAGATCTGTCAATCTTCTACAAAAAGTCAGTGCACACATGCCCTCACGAAGACATTCTTCTCAAAATCTCAGCTTTAAATGGCCTGCATAATGCAATACTGTGACATTATAGCAACCATGTCTCTTTCAGAAAGAGGCAAAGCAGGAGTGAGCAGCACCTTAGGTGATTTGGTGAAGCTCACTTAATAAATCAATGGGAGAGAGAGGACAGAAAGCAAGTATCTTCAACTCCAACCTTCTCAGCTCACCGGTAGCAATGGTATCACTGGCTTCAGAGAAAGGTTGTTTACAGTTAAGGTAACTGCATTCACCCTAACTAAATCTGGCCTTATCATCAATTGGCTATGCTTTAAAAAAAATAATCACAGACCCTGGGTATGTTTTGCAAGCACAATGTAGCTATTTAATGAAGTTATTCAGCAAATGCAACACTGCAAAGCAATAACTAGAACAATTTGTAGATAGTGCACATATTGTGAAATTACAGTACTTAGAGGTCTTTAAAGAACAAAAGACACTCCATAAATATAATGATTTATTTCATTATTCTGCAGAGAAACATAAGGCCTGCAAAAAAATCACTAACCTTAGAAGTATGTTTTTTTTTTTTCTTTTCCCCTGTGTCAAAGTATAATGCAGAGTTCACAAGTTAATGTTTGGAACTATTTTGAGATATTTGGATGAAAAATGCTATCCAATTACTTTCCTACAGATAATAACAGTAAGAATCCTTCTGAATGATATGAAAAGTACAGTGAACTGGAAAATACTTGTCACTCCTCCAAATCAATGTATTTGTTTTTGTCATAGCTGACTCTCCCTTTATATGGACTGATGATTTGTATATCAAACTAAGTTTAGTGGGGAAATTAGCTTTAGATAGTTAAGAGCTAAGCAGCTTTTCTTATTTGTAGTCAGCTTACTGCCATTTTATTACAGGCAAATAGGATTTCCTAAGAAAGGAGATAAAGACTGACATTCTAAGGTCATGTCATAAAATATTATGCCTAAACACGTGCTTTTAGTGTATCTTACCTCACAATATTCCCAGTGAAATTCACCTCGCCAATGAACCTCAACATGTCTATAGCACTGGTTCTCAGCTGGGGGTGATTTTACCCCCTAGGGACATTTATCAATGTGTCCGTCACAACCTGGAGTGGAAGGTGGGGGTGTCCTGCTGGCATCTACTGAACAGAGACCAGGAATGCTGCTAAAATCCCTACAAAGCACAGACAGCTATCAAAAGAAATAACTATCTGGGGAATAATCTGGGCCCCTACTGCCAGGAGTGCAGTGTTTGTGGTTGAGAACGCTCATGTAGAAAGCAGGGATATAGTTTTCACACCCCATCACTTGGTACAGAGCTTTAAATGTTGGACATATGTGAAACCACTGATTTGTGTTCTTACTATATACACAATGATAAAAATGAGAGCTAGTGACTTCTTCTAGCAACAGTACAAAACATTGCCAGGTGCGCATTCCTAACACGTTCTGATTGACTCTATTCATTTTGCATTTTGTAGAAAAGAGGTGTTTAGAAAATTAAGTGGCCTAGCTTCCTTAGGGATTAAATTCTCAACAAGTTTCATTTATGCCTAAAGTTTACTGTGGACTTTAATGAGAATCTAACTGCTTATACAGAACCTGCTGGTGTAGTTGAAATTCAAAGACAGATTCAAATTTATCTTCCCCAGTTTTTCCAAGATAATGACCAATCTTAAATTCAGTTCTCATTTCACCTTCACAAGGCTAAATGTGAGAGGATCTTGTTAACAGCATTCTCACACATGCAAAGAAGTTCAGGACATCACTGCAATAGAGACAGGGCAATTTTTTCCCACGAGGGTCAGGACATTACTGTGCAGGAAAGGCTTCCTGGGTACCTCTATCCTACAGCATTCACACATGTCAAAAAACTCTTTCAGAAAACACTTGTGCATCAGTCTTAAAAATGAATAATTCAATGATTTGTACCAATTCAGGGAAGTAGTGGAACTCCACCACACCATGGCAGTGTTAAATTACACATCACTTCTGCTCAGCCTTGGAGGAGGCATATGACTTTCTTTTCACCAAGGGGCTCATCTCTCTAGTTATGTTTGCTGAAGGCTAATATTAAAATGTGTTTAGATTTCCTGGTTGCATGCATGCTTCTAAAGAAAAACAACTCACAATAAAATCTGGAACTTGAAATGAATGAGTTGCTATGTAAAATGTACACACTTGACACTCAGGGTATAATGTGCATTGTGGCACACCAGGAGAGGTATCAGGAAGGAATCATGCTAAATAACGTATAGTATAAAGAGATGGATATCTGGAGAGTGGAGGCACTTGAAGGTGACCATGCACATCTGGTATCTACTTAAGAGCTGATGAAATACTTTCATACATACTTCATTTGACCTTGTTCTGAAGGTCTCCATCTTACAGATGAAGAAAGCAAGGCTCCAGGAAGTTGAGACTCGCCGAGCGCCCCAGAGTCCACCAACAACAGGGTTAGGTGGGTGTACACCACCCCTCCATGACTCTTTTCCATCCCATAAATTATCTGCATTTGCAGGAGCTGATCTCAGCTTGGTCTTGATCTGTTGGCGCCCACAGACATAAAGGGTCATGAATTTGATCCTTAGAAGAAACATTTTTCTGGGTGTGGCACCTGGAAATAAATCTCTCAGATAGATGGAAAATAAAGACAAGATTTTGGAGGGGGGCCTTCTGAAGCTCTGGTTAACTCTATAAAGGGATCTCCTCTCTGCAGGCCGCCTTCACGTAGTTGAGTAGCAGACATCATCTGTGTTTCCCTTTGTCGGTATAGTCACTATTAGGAAGGAGGGGAATGGTTGGCACTAATGAATTCTGAACAAAGGAATGCCTTAAGGCCTGAATCTGTCTTATAACAGTTTATAAAATAGAAAAGACTGAGTTAAATACCCATGGACATAAGATTCAAAATTCTGTGGAAATTCAACCCCAAATAAAATGAATAGTTGGACCACATAGTCATCAAGGGTTCCAAGAAAACAATCAACTAGCATCGGAGCTATCAAATGAGTGATTTTCCATGCCACTAAAGGTGAAGCTCATTAAGATAAATTAAGTATGAATCATCACACAAAATTATTTCTCTTAAAAAAGAAGGCCTATAATGATGAGCTGTGAAATCAAATGCCTAACGGTGGCAAAAACTCAGGAGCAACCATTTCCTGAAGTATTATAGATACCAGTTAGCATGTTGTTCATGAAGACAGGTGATAAGTAAGTGGGTAAAGAATAACAATGATAAGAAAAAGTAAGTCCTATTCAGCCTAAAGAAAAAAAAAAAGCTGTGATTTAACATGGCTTTAAAATTTCATGACAGATTCATACAAGGGCACTGAGCAGGGGTGTGTGTGACTTATTATTTTATTCTTTCATTATTTATGAAATACTGGCTCCATTCAGCATGCATAAATGGGTTTACCATTTAAAACACACTTTCACATGCTTTATCTTATTCCGTACAGCAACACTAGTTAGTATTACTGTGCAAATTATTCCATTTCAGAGATGAGAAAACTGAGGTTTAAAAACAATCAGTCCAAGAGGACAACATTAGGAAACAACAGGCCTAGACATGATCACCAGGATGCTCATAAAACAAGTAATCATCCTTGAGGGCATTCAAAAAGACTTTAAAATACACACACACACACACACACACACACTCTCTCTCTCTTTCTGTCTCTGTCTCACACACACACACACACACACATTCTAAGCTACAAGTTCCTAGTTGGATTTTCAGGTACATAGGGACTTTCTGTAACAAACAGCATCAGTCAGCTAGTGGGTGATGAAAAACTAGGCATTTAAAAAAAATCAACTATTAAGTAGCAGAATAAATGAGTTAATGATAAAAACACAGAAAATACATGGAGCAAAGTTTAAAGGAGGTAAAAATAATCAGTGTTTAGTATCTCATGCTCTCCTATACTCTTTTACTCTATCTTGAGTTTTAATCAACTGTCTCTTTCTCTGTGTCCCCCAACCCCTCCATCTACAGAATATCCAGATACTAAGAAGTAGACCTGTATTACTTCATTTTCACACTGCTGATAAAGACATACCCGAGGCTGGGTAAATTAAAAGAAAAAATAAAAAGAGGTCTCATGGCCTCACAATTCCATGTGGCTGGGGAGTCCTCACAATCATGGTGGAAGGCAAAAGTCACTTCTTACATGGCAGCAGGCAAGAGAGAAAACGAGAGAGAAGCAAAAGCAGAAACCCCTTATAAAACCATCAGATGTTCTGAGACTTATTCACTACCATGAGGACAGTATGGGATGGGGGAAACTGTCCCCATGATCCAATTATCTCCCATTGGGTCCCTCCCTCAACACATGGGAATTATGGGAACTACAATTCAAGGTGAGATTTGGGGCAGGGGGGCACAGAGAAATCATATCAAGACCCCAGGCTGTGTGTTCAGAGCCAGGTATGCCAAGCCCTGGGATACCCATAGCGACCCATCATTGAGCTGCTTCAGTACATGGCTTCAGGAACTCGGAGCCTCCTATCTCCATCTAAGGGGAGTGGAGTGACCTTCAGGCAGCCTCCCCGAACCCCAACCAAAAAGGTCAGAACTACCATCCTCCCATGGCACCACCTCATACAACATCCTCCCACCAGTCTCTTCTTTCACTGGAACAAATACACTTGATTATGTCCCTACCTTGCAGGGAGGGTTATTTTACTTCCCCTTCATGCTTCTTCCTTTGCTCCATCATCCCTAGTCTTCCTGCCCTCTCACTCTTTTCTGCTAAATGCTTCATGAGAATTCCAGGCATAGGTTTCACACAGTTTGATAGTCACCATCTGCTATCAAGGAACTAACTATTCATCCTTCCTTCTTTTTAGTTCTGAAAAATGTTAAAACATCCTCCTAAACACGTAGAATGTTTCTTGTGGAACCTAGAATAAATGTCAATTATTCGATATTCTCCTTACAAAGTATTATACATTTATATCAACAATTTCTCTTCTGTTCAATGAACTCAAGTAATTACAGCAATTCTCTGAATAGTTATTATCCAAAACAAAGGAACTAGAAAAACGTCATGTTTACTTAACAGCAATAGTTTTCTATTTCCATTATAACAATTACTACAAATTTAACTGCTTCATAAAAGACAAAAGTATTGTCATACAATCTGAGGATCCAAAGTCTGGTATGGGTCTCACTGGGGAAAATCCAGGTGTCGGTAGGGCTGTGTCTCTTTCTGGAGGCTGTAGGGGACATTGTGTCTCCTTCAGGGTGTTAGGAGAATTCAGTTCCACAGGTTACAGGGCAGAGGGCCCCTTTACTTGGCTGGCTGTCAGCAGGGAAGTGCTTTCCTAGAAGCCTCTGTGCTCCCCTGGTATGTGGCTCCTACATCTCCAAACAAGCAATGGTACACAGAATCCAGGAAAGGTGTCCATTTTTCAAGATTTATGTATTTAGTTTGGGTCCACTTGGATAACACGGGATCATCCTCTTATCTCAGACAGAATACCTTTTGCCAGGTAAAGTTACATCTGGACAGGTTCTGGGAATTAGGGTAACGACACCTTTGGGTGTCATTCTTCTGTCTACCAGAAGACAGAGGATGGACGAGCATTTTGTCCAGCATGGGGTATAGTTAGGGAAGAATGCTAGACACATGGACCACAGTCCCAGCTGGGCCCCACCAGCTATGTGATTTTGCCCAGGTCATAGAGTATGGAGGACCCAGCTTCTTTCTTTTCTTTTGTTTTAAATCGGGCCAGTATAACAGATGGCACCTTGGTTCATATCCATTTGTTTCATACATATTACCAAGTGCCTATACAATGACTGGCAGTGAGGCAGGTACTGGGCTGCGGCAGTGAGCAAACCAGAGAAATCCCTGCCTCTTGGAGCTTACATTCTGGTGAAGGAAGATGGACAACACAAGCTAACCAAGACAGCAGTAAAAGAGGTAGCATGCTAAACAGTGATATGTAAATCAGGATTGGATGTAGGAAGATCAGGGGCTAAGAGTTCTGTCATTGTAGACACAGAAGCCAGCGATGGACTATGTGAGAAAGGGAGGGCTGAGGGCAGAATCCCCCTCATTTCATGTCACAAGAGCACACAGTCTGTTCCGAGGTAAACAAGAAGATGTATGCCTGCCCACCGCAAGCCTTCTCTGTATTGGACATGGATGACTTAGGACTACTTAGCATGGGTTGCCTAGCTCTTCCCTTTACACTGTCAAGTCTACACAATATTGTAATAAGATAATAGAAAAATGTCTTTTTCTAAGATAGAAAGGCTCTTAATTTATAAGTGAGAGACTGATGTAATAGGGACATCAAGGAAAAATATTCTAAACTATTAAGTGGCAAAGTAATTTTACTTGTCAATTCAACATTTCATTAAGTATTTCAAATGGCAGTGTCCAAATAGATGGGATTTTACCACTCATTCTCAACCCATTACTTTCTGCTGTATGAAAACCTACATTTTCTATATTACCTGAAGCTTGTTATGATTTGCACTAGAGAGAAAAACAAGAAAAATTTTCAAGAGAAGTACACCCTTTCTACCTTACAAATATTCAGTGCATTACCATAGTAAGCACACTGTTATTTGGAAATCAATCAGTTGAAGGATTTTCCAGAGATGATGAATTCTCAACCAATCAACTTTCAAATGTGTTTGGACTGAAAGACATTAGAACAAAATGGAAGAAACAAAATGGAACATTAGATTGAAAAGTTAAGAGACCTGGGTACCAGAATTGGCTCCCACTGCCATGCAGGATAATCTTGGGTACATAGGTATGTACATCACATAAAATCTTTCCATTCACTTCTCTGTTAAAAACATAAAAGGCACCAGGCATGGTGGCTCATGCCTATAATTCCAGCACTTTGGGAGGCTGAGGAGGGCAGATCATTTGAGGTCAGGAGTTCAAGATCGGCCTGGCCAACATGGTGAAACCCTNTGGCCATGGTGGCACATGCCTGTAATCCCAGTTACTCAGGAGGCTGAGGCAGGAGAATTACCTGAACCTGGGAGACGGAGGTTGCAGTGAGCCAAGATTGCACCACTGCACTCCACCCTGTGAAACAGAGTGAGACTCCATCTCAAAACAAAAACATAAAAGGGTCACAATAACATCTGTCCTACTTGATTTACAGAAGGACTTGAAGGATTGAATAAGAGAGTACATGTTAAAAACCCTACATCACTGCTACATAAATTTCAGGAATTATTATTGTTACTAAACTTCACCATCTACTTGCTTCACATAATCAATGTGAGATCTGAATATTGAAGAAAAACACTGACAAGTACAAGGAGCTTCTGGATCACAGTGCATCATGAGGCAGCAGCCTCAGGAGGGATTCTGGTGAATGCTTTCATCAAACACATAATTTACTGAGCATTTAACCATCTATCAGGCCTGATAAGACACAGGACCTAAAGAACGTGGTAATGTTCATTACTTTATTTGAAGTATTGAAATCAGCACTTGCTGATTTCTTCAAATGGGAAATGTGGCTCTGTTACCTTAATAAGGTCCTCCCTGGAGGAAAAATTGGAGACTAAGTAATTTTCTCTGGTTTTGGTGTTGGAGATGGATACGTGCAGTCGGTTCTGAGCCAGCTCGTGAGCATCGGAAGGAAGAATCAACTCCATTCCACTTCTAAAGAAGAAAAAGCAATCTGCATTATTCATCTTTAATTATTGAACACCTTGTAAATATTTTACAAGAGAGAATGCTGAGCTTGCCACAGTTTGTACAGAGAGTCGTCAACACTCTGTCTTCACGTACTTTTGGGCAAAATGTACTCTGTATACCTTAGTCGGGCCATAAAGTCATAACCAGGTGTTACTGCCCCAAAAGACTGCCTTCTGGTTTCTTCAGCAAACTTGTAGGTAAATTGGCTACATTCCTAGAAAAAGAAAATTAAGAAGTGACTCTATGTATTATAAAGAAAGAAATCATTCCACTTCTAAAACTTGAGATTCTATAGACCCAACAGCAAATGTAGGGTGTCACATCATTAAATGTGTGCAAATTTCCCACCTGGCCAGGGCCTCACCCACCATTCTCAGGCCCTTTGCAAGTTATACATTCTTATAATCCTAATCTCTTTGTTTGTTTTTTTCCTTTGTAAAGCACCTTAAATGGCCTTTGCCCTCATCTGAAAAATCCTTGAAGGCGCAATCTGAATTTTAATTAAGCACATTCTTCAAAAGGTTTCCTCAGTGCAATTAACCTTCTCTCCTACCCCAGTTTTGTGGTCTCAGCAGCAGTTTGATTACAACCCTAAAACAGAGTTGATTACAAATGACAGCACCAGTGACAGAAATAGGAGTGGTGACATCTATGGTTTGCACAGACTGAATCAGAGTCTTCAGAGATTCATCTTGGACACTGGTATTTTATAAAGTTTCTCAGGGATGCTCCTGTCTACCCTGAACTGGGATCCAGGGAGTGACACTGTCAGTTCATCTTCACATCATCCTGCAACGTGGGTATAAGCACCCCACTTAACAGATAAGAAAATGGAGGCTTGGAGAGTTCAAGTGCCTGTCCCAATATTTCATTAAAAATGAGTCTCAGAGTCAGGATTTGCACCGAAGTCTGTTTTGTATTAAATAATGAATTAATTCAGCAACTAACTGGGCACCAGGGATTTGGCTAGGCACTGGGATTTGGAGAGGACAAGATGCAAAGGATCTGTGCTCATGAGAATCCTAAGTGCCTCCAAGAGCAGGTCACAGAGGGCTATGACAGCCCTCATGAGGTGTGTTTGGCTTTCATTTAGTGCAAAAAATAAATAACAACAGGTAAACTGATTTGAGAATATGAGGACATCAAGTCTCAAATTCAGGTAAATTATTCAATGTCTTAACATTGCAGAATTTCAGTTAAGTGGCTATATTATTGCAGAGGTCTCTCTTCTCCACAAAGATGTCCACATTCTAGTCCCCAGAACCTGTGACTAGGAGACCTGCTATGTTAAAAGGGACTTTTAGATGCAATTAAGGACCTTGAGATGAGGACATACTTTTGGATAACCTGGGTAGGCCCAATGTCATCACAGGGGTTTTTGTAAGGGAAGGAGGGAGGTGGGAGAGCCAGAGTTAGAGAGATTCAAGACACTGTGCTTATGGCTTTAGAAATCAAGGAAGGGGTCAGGAGCTAAGGTGCCTGGGCATTCTCCAGAAACTGGAAAAGGTAAGGAAATGAATTCTACCCTGGAGACTCTGGAGAAAGTGAGCATGGACATTTGATTTCGGCCCAGTGAGGCCCTTTTAGACTTATGACTTCCAGAGTTGGAAGATGATAAACACATGCTGTTTTAAGCCACGAACTTGAAAGTCCTTTGGCAAAGCAGCAACCTAAAATGAATAGAGTGGGTGTCAACCTCCAACCTCATGGGATGCCAAAGGTTTCCCTCCCATCTGATACCTGGGCTGGGACTTAAATATAAACAGGAATGGGACAGGGGACAAAGGTGAAAGCAGAGGATAGTAAAAACAATAGCAAGAACAACTCTGAGAGGGGCACAGAGCTGAAATGTGTCCCTGTGGTGTGCCACAAGTAGGGCTAAGTCACATGGGTCCTTGTGATGCATGCTGAGAAACCCGGGCCACATTATTCTAAGTCAATAGAGAGCCCCTGCCCCGGGGTGGGGGGAGGGCAATGAAGTGATCAGATGTGCCTTTGGGTGACATCACTCTAAGTGCCATGAGGTAGGTGGAGTGTAGGGAGCTTGAATGGATATAGGCTGCAGGAAGCTTCTAGGTGAGAAATGCGGGTAGCCTCACCAAATGTATGTTCATTTTACTGACCTAGACTGCCCATCTAGCCTATTTCTTTGTACTGATTTTAGTTATATTCAATAATCTACATATCCTAGACCAATTCATCTTTGACTTCCCCACTGAGTCTAGCACCATGGCTTCCTTGCAAATTGTGAGGACTGAGGAAAGGCTTGCAGCACTGAGCTCTTCCATATCAATGTCTAAATTTGCCTACTACCTAAAATATGCCCAGCATCAGGTGCTCCTCTTAATTATTCATGCATAAGCTCAGAACAAGATTAATTACACATGTATTTGACACAACAGTAAAAAACTTGAGGAGCTTAAACCATCAGTGAGAACTGAGTGAACGTAAATCTGAGTAGGTAGAAACATTTGCTAAAAAAACTCAAGGCTATCCTACAGGTAGATTATTTCAAATGCTAAAAATAAAGGAAATAAAATAACCTTAAGTCAAAAGTTTACTACGGCTGAAAAATTATTTTGAAGAACAAATGAGGATGCCCCAAGGAAACAAAGAAAATTATTTTCCACCTTCCCATGGGAGCACCAGATAAAGACACCTTTTCATCATACCAACACCATCAGACAACACAACCCAGCCTCTCATTTGGTGCAAAAAATATGTAACAACAAATAAACTGATCTGCGAATATGATATCAAGTCTCCAATTCAGGTAAATTATTCAATGTCTCAACATGGCAGAATTTCAGTTAAGTATAAGTGGCTGTATTATTGCAGTATCTCCAAATCAGGTTAATTCTAAATCATACATTTTTTAATTTGCTCAGAATTAGAAACCAAGTCTACGTAACTCCAGAGCTCAGGATTTGCCACAGCTGAAGGAAAGACTGTAGTAAAAAGGAAGAAGTGACGCCCTGAGAGTCCTCTGCTTCAAAAACGAAACACAGTTATGGGAAGGAGGTAGCTTGTAATTCAAAGCATATGATTCTACTAGTTTAGGGGAAATTTTCTAACCTCATTTATACCTTGCATGACTTAAGGTTCTCATCCTGTGTAATCTCTGCAGTTTGAAATCACTTTTCTAGTTCTCTGTAAATCAACCATACAAAGACACGAAGATAAGTGGATTTCTGAATGATTGGCCTCAAACCTAGCTTCCCTTTGATAAGCAGCTCACAACAGATCTGCAATGAGATTTTGATGTTTAAAATTGCATGGTTTTGGAATTTTAAATGTGACTGAAATTCATTCTTGGGCATGAGGGTGTTAAATTGTTATTTCACTATTGTTCAAAGCTGCTAGAGTATGTAATGATTAACAAATATAATATTCTCCAACTACAGAATCCAGCTCTCAGTCAGCAAATGATTGATCACTGTGTGGATAGCAGAAAACGGATTTTTAAAACATAGATTGCATTAAATAAAATACTTAATGAAGACTCATTTGTATTAGTTCTGGATAAATTGCTTGGAACTCAGAGCTTCCTCTTACTGTGAGAATTAAAAAGGAATTAAATTCCTAGACCACTTAACAGAAACTGAATGCCCACATTTTAATTTATATATCTATTTCTAAGTAGCAGTGAGTACAGACTTGTTGCCCACATGTTCATGACCTTGAAAATAGCCCCCATGCTTTTCTCATGAGCATAGAAACAAATATTCTTTGCTTGAAAGGAACAGAGCTAGAATCTTAAGGATAAATAAAAACTCAAGAGTAATATAAGGCATTTTATTTCCTTATTTCACTGTCACCCAAAATAATCTTTTCCACAACCAGAGCACAGATCCCTAATGATTACATTTTAAAAGAGAAGTCCTAATCCTTTCTGTTTCCAAGGCAAAGGACTATTTCTCTGCAGTGTTAACTTAGTTGAGTCAATGCTCATGTTTGCCTTTGAGTCTTAATTTCTTGATGAGGAACACAGCCTAAGTTACTACTTAATTACCTCTATTTTTTCTGGTGCTGTTAACAGAACAGAAGCAACCAAGGATCCCGCAGAAGCACCAGCAAAGGCTTTGACATCCTTCAGAAGCTTTTTGCCATGTTTGCAAAGTGCAGATGCTGCCCCCAAGTGGTAAATGCCCAGAAATCCACACGCTGCAAATGACAAGTTGATGTGCTTCATTCTAGCTGCAGCACTGGCAATACAAAAAACAAAAATGCTGTTAAGATGGAATAGTTTACCAGGTGCTGTGTAATCTTATGCTAATCATTGTTCCAAGGCTTTCTTCTAACATCATCCCCTGTTTTAAGCACAGTCGTTTCAATTAATTCTAAGTAAACACAGGAATCTTTCAAAGATTTTCTTTCTCTCCTTACCTTGACCCAAGTCTTCAACAGTGCAAAAAAAAAAAAAAAAAATTACAACATTCCACATTTATTCGGTACATAGATTATCATGCAATCTAAGATTTAATTACTTGTCAAGAAACAGATGTAGGATTACAGTTGGCAAGGGCATTTGGTCTTTTTTTCTTGACCCTTTGAAACGTTTTGCCGGGTGGGGGCGGCGCTACAATTATGGAAAGAGAAAATTATTAGAGACTGTATCAAATTCCAAATGAAAAACACATTTGTTCTGGGCAAGTGTGTCAGAAAATGTCAAATATAGCTCCGTACTTCCCTTTTCAATTTCTATTGTGAGCACCCTTATTTTTATAAACGCCAATACAATTATTCAGTAACGCAATAAGCAATCACTCAATACATTTCTTTGCCAAATATCTCAAGACAAACTGAGGTCATAACTGGTGAAGGCAAATTAAGGCTCCATGCAGTATCAGCCAGGCCACTTTATACTTGCAACACATCTAAATACAAAATTATATGTTTTCCTTTGCCTCAGTGGGCACAATTTGCCCACTTGAATGAAATTGTGATTTCACAAGGCTGTCCATTCTGAGGGTCTCAGGGTTTCCCTGGGGACCCAAGGGCCCCATTCAGGGACCCCAATATTAGGCACATTGCCAGGGCCTCAAATTTAGGGACCTAAGACAGCCTGTTCTGATGCACCCGGCCAGGCCCTGTGAGGGTAGGAGGCTCGGCTGCCGCAGGCTGCGCTGGCGTCCGCGTAGACTGAGTCCCGGTCATCGATCCCGGGCCGAGCCCCAGTTTTGATTCCACTTCTGCAAATGGGGACGGGTAGAGGGTTGAGTGCTCAGCATCCAGGAGGCCAGGCCCGGTCAGCACAGGCTCAGTGCTCTCCGGTGGCTTGGAGGCCGGCGGGGCCGGGGTGGTGCCCGCATCAGTCTCGCAGAAGCACACCACAACCCTCCACGCCCTTGCCAGGCCCCAGGGTTCCGTACCAATTCAGCCCCGGGATAGTTCCGTGTTGAGTATGTCCCTTTAACCAGAAGGCGGGGCTGGACCGTCACTCAACCCTCTTCCGTCTATGAAGGCCGGGCTACGCTCGCCGCGAGCCTGCCCAGTAAAGTCCTGCGGCAGGGGTAGGTGCCGCCTCCCGCGCAGGTATGTAACGTCATCGCGCCGACGCAGGCGTCTGTTCGGCTCCGCCTGCTCTAGGTAAACTTCTGTACTTAACGTGGCCGCTAGATCGGAGCGTCCTCCAGCGCAGGCAAGACTTGCTCGTTTAGAGTTATGTTATCTTCAAGTACCTAGAGAGATGTTTAGAGACAGGTCCACACGTCTCTAGGATGTGGACCCTAGAGAGGTGTTTTAATCACTGCGTACCTTTTAACGCTACTTGGAAGTCACCTGCGAGCCTACTGACCTTTAATGATCCTTATTTTCTATGCCCCGGAAGTGCCCGCCTCTTTTCACGTTCTGTTTCCCGGAAGTTATTCCTCCCTCTCCACCTTTCCGCCCGCCTGGGTGGTCCAGCTGCCGCTAGGGGCGGAGTCCAGCGGCTAAGCGGTGGCTGGACCTCCTGCAGCCTTTTAAGGCTTGTCTTTAGTTTTTTTCCGAAGTGCCATCGAAAAGAGAGGCTGGACTATGACCCTGGGGAACTTTCACATCCTTAGTTGACCTTATGCTGTGTGACCTTGGGCAGGTAGCATAACCTCTCTGAGTTTCCCGTGTGCCTCATGTTCAGATTGAGATGATGAAATGAGAGAGCTAAGTTGGAAAGCTCGTTCCACTTATGGGGCTGTGAGCAGGTGGTCTTTTTGTCCTCTGGCACTACTGGCTCAGACTTAAGCAGCTTCAGCGACCTCCAAGATGCCTGCCATGGTCACCAAGGTTTAAAGGACTCTGACAATTCTCTCTCTCCCCAAACAGGGTTTTCCCTATCTAATCCTAATAACCAAGCCTGGAGGAATCTTTGGCTTTGTGATTGAAGGCTCCCTTTGTGATTTGTCCTTTGTGATTTAAGGACAGAGATTTACTTTCTCTGAGGCTACAAAGGAGCATCTGGGAGATGGCGAGGGAGTCTCTACCTTAAGCAAAACAGGGAGGAGGGGTGAAGCTCTACAGATTGCCTCTGGCTTGGGCTTTTTTTCTCTTTTGGGGTGTCTCCTCTGGCCAACAGCACCTTCTGTGAGTCCTTGATGTGATGACTAGGAAAGATATTTTGTTTTTAATTCATGTAACTAATCTTTAGAGAAAATAGATCCTGAAAACACCTTGTTTTCTGATCACAGAATGACTCCATTACTCAGAATTCTTTACTTCCACCAGAATTTAGTGAAGGGAAGGCACAACCTGCATTAGGAAAATACAGGACACACTTCAGTCCTTAAACCTTCCACAGTCCTCTAACTCTTTAAGTCCAATGTGATCCTCCCCAGAACTGCATCCTCCAGGAAGCTCATGAGAAAGGAAGAATCCCAGGTCCCATCCCTGATGTCCTGAATCGGTATCTGCATTTTAACAGAATCCTGAAGCACTTGTCTAACCCTTTGGCGATGTTATGGTCTGAATGGATACCTCCAAAATTCACATATTTAAAAACCCCAAGGTGATGATATTAGGAGGTGGGGCCTTTGGGAGGTAATTAAGTCACGAGGATGGAGCCTTCATGAATAGGATTAGTTCTCTTAGGAAAAGGACCCCAGAGCTCGCTTTCCACCACGTAAGGATGCAAGTACAAGAAGATGGCAGACTGCAAATTGGAAAAGGGCCCTCCTCAGAACCTGATCATCTTGGCACCTTGATCTCAGACTTCCATCTTCCAGAACTGTGAGAAATACATTTCTTTTATAAACACCCAGTCAATGATACTTTATGATAGCAGCTTGAATGGACTAAGACTGGTGGTCTGGTTTAAAGTGATGTGGTGGCATCAGAAGTTTAAGGTGAGACTGGATTCACAGAACTGGAATCTGGGATGCTGTTGACAGAACAAATATTTCTTGCACTTGGACATTGTCAGCAGGTCGATTCAGGAGACAGATGAAAACTTTATCACCGGGCAGCCTGGATGAACGCCACAACTTTGGACTCTTTCACATAAAGGAAAGATAAGAGCATCCACTATTTCTACACCTGGCTGGCAGAGTGAGATCTCACCAAAGGTAAGTCTCTTTGGAACAGCAAAATGCTCCACAATTTAACTCCTAAAATTTTAAACTTGTTTCCTCCTTACTCCCTTCTGCCTCATATCATATCTCCATGTAACTAGTTAAAAGTTCAGCTCCCAGCTGGGTGAGGTGGCATGTGCCTGTAGTCTCAGCCACTCAGGAGGCTGAGGTGGGAGTATCACTTGAGCCTAGGAGTTCATCTTCAGCCAGGGCAAGGTAGTGAAACCTTATCTCTAGAGAAAAAACTAAAAGAGTTCAGCTTTCTCATGTAAGGAAGAATATCATATTCATTCACATTTGTCTTTGTCATCTGATTGCCAAGCCTAGCACTTGGCACATAGTATATGATCAATAAATATTTGTTTTGGATGTTGGATTGAAGTAAATTACCATTGTGATCTGAATATATAGTAATTTAATTGCCCTTTAAAATGTTTTTTTTTTTTCTGTAATTAATTTGCTTACTTTTGCTCTTCTGTTATCCTTAGTAATTTAGTTTCAAATGGGTTTTTTTAGCCATTTATCATATAATTATTAAGCATCCGTTGTATAGCAAAGGTTGCATTGGTACAGGGCATACACAGTTGAAATAATTTAGCCCTTATCATCAGGGATGCAAGAGTCCAGTGGGTAGGGAGACATCTGATGTGTAATTACAGAGGTGTGATGATGTGGTATTGCAAAGCCACACACAGATAACCCTGGTTGCGCACCGGGAGCTACAGAGTAGGAAACCTTTAACTCTAGGAGGTGCCTAGAGTAGCACCCAGCACATAAACAAAATGCCCCCTTGATGGCTCCTTTTCCTCTCCAGTACTCCCTCCCAGGAGATTTTATCCTGTATCCCATAAAGGGGGAGAAATGGACATGGAAAAGGGATGCTTGTCCACACCTCTGCTCCAGGGACAGGACCATATCTCAGGATCTTTGAGTCTAATCAGTTCTTCCAATCTACTCTGCTTGTGGTATTATTTCATTTTCCCCTCTTAGCATCTTAACACCTTAATATCTCTTGTCGATCAACATTGCAAGTATTTTTTTTTTTTTTTTTAAAAACAACAAATCTCTTGTCTGTGTTTGCAACTCTTGAGCCTGTGGATGCAAATATAATATTACACGTTGAACTGAAAAATAGAGATGGTAAGGATTTCCTGAGTGTTTCTGTTGTTGTATTAGAATTCCTTAATTACAGTGCTTGCAACAGGTAAGCTTTCAAAGTTTTCATGCATAAACAATGTATTTTATATTCCTGACTTGCTTTCCCCACTACACCTACCCTTTTCTATTTGGTTTACTTAAGTTAGTTAGAACTGAGTTTCTAAAGCTTGCAAACCAAACCGTTCTTACTAATGTAAGTGCTTTTTACATTGCACATGGCTATTTTCCCTCTATTAAAAATATGCTACAAGAACTGACTACTTAAAGGAACACTGGGTAAATTCTTTCTAAATGGAATAATATATTTTTAAAAAATGTGAATTTTATATATTTACTATATTTCATATATATATAACATTACATATTTATTTCTGTTATATATATGTTTGCATATTTATATAAAACAAAATAAGACTTTTCTTTGATAACATCTGTGTTTAAGTCTGTTCAGGCCGCTATAACAAAATACCCAAAACTGAGTGGCTTATAACCAATAGAAATGTGTTTCTCACAGTTCTGGAAGATGAGCATTCCAAGATAAGTCACTAGCAGATGGTGTCTGGTGAGGCCCCATTTCCTGGTTCGTAGATGGCACCTTTTCGCATTGTCCTCACCAGGTGGAAGGGGCAAGGAGCACTTCATTAAGGGTACTTATCCCATTCATGAGGCTCCACCCTCAGGACCTCCTCCCCTCCCAAAGGCTCTGTCTCCTAACAGCATCACCGTGGGGGGATAGGATTCAACAAATACATTTTTGGATGGAACACAAGCATTCAGACCATAGCAATCTGAAAACATAATTGAAAATAGACATCCTTTAGAAATATAATTTATTTATGACTCAATACATCTGATAATATATGACAATCTTTAGGTCTTCTAACATGGTGTTGAAACTCAATATCAAACTATTAAAGAGAAAAAATTTTTAAATGTGACATTTATTTTATAAGCTTCCTTTTAATTTAATATGTGAAGGGTTCCAAATGTAATGTTATGCATTGAGCTAAAAACAGAGATAGTAAAGCAGGTAAGCTTTCAGAGTTTTCATACTTAAATGATATATTTTGTAGAAAATGGGTTCAGATCCTTGATAGCCAGGGGGTGGGTGTGTGGTACCACATGTATACATAATCCTAAATATTTTTAAAAATCCCAATCAAATAAACCTGTAGTTTCTGCTCTGTGTACTTTATCGCAAAGCAGCTATACAGTGGACATGGCTGCTAGGTGTCCACGAATTGTGCAGACATAAATAGTCCTTTCTGGCCTTCAAATATATTTTTCTTACCATGGAGCTGATTATTGAGGAAATAATATCAATGTCAAATAAGTAATATTGTTGGGTGATAAACAGGTGGACAGCTTCAGTGCCTTATGCTCCATAAAATTCACCAAAATACTGTATTTTAATTTGGAGTACAGGATCTCGTCATTACTGATGCTGTTATCAAAAGAAATACCCTAACTACTAAAACATTCAATTGTCTAATTACCTCATTTCAAAGAGACAAAATAAGGATTTTGGTCTATTCTTTGTTAGTAAAGTGCCTTGATTTCCTGAGCATCTACTACTATTATTAGACTCTTATTACTAATATTTACTACACTTACTGCCTACTCCATGCCAGTCCTTTGTATACATTGTCTCATATCACTTGTGCAATGTTAAAAGATAGAAACATATAATAGATGACTCAAGAAAAGACAAATATATAATAGATGAAAGTTTAAAGCAGCCTTTCCATATCCACAGAGGTTATAAGGCCAGGTTGCCCTGCTCTAAAGCCTTTGCACAGACCTCCCTTCCCTTCCACTCTTTCAGAAATGAATTAGTGAAATACTGAGCTCTAATTATATGCTAAGCCTTGTGTTATTTGGCTACTAAGAGTCTCAGAATCTTTCTTCTGTTAGATCTTTCTCTGTTCATAATTTGTGAATGGTATTCATATTTGGATATTTATAATTTTAAAATGGTAAAAGTCTTAATAGATGTTATATATGAGTTTATTTATAGCAGTTAAAGAACTTGTTTATGTCTTGAAAAGAAGAATAAAGCAAGCCTAGCAATTAATTAAAACTACCATTCTCTATTGATCAATTGCAGCAGTAACTCTTTTTTATTTCTCCTTTTCCTGGAAGCTGTGCCATAAAGTAAGTGATGGTAAAACAAACATAATTTCTATTAGGAGCAATGTTATAAAAGGGGATTATGTTACTGGCTAAGGTCTAACTCCAAATAAATGATATATCTATTCATTTGTCTTCATGCCTTTGCTCTCATTAGATAAACTTTTTTGTCTAATATATAAAAAGAGCCAGGTTAGGCATTAAAAAATATATTTTAAAAGAATCTTAAGGTAAACTTCCTTTAGTTCACTATTTTCTTGCTCAAATGTCCTTTCATATTTCTTTGTCCCATTAAGCCCGACTTTTTCTTCAAGGCCTAAATCAAACTGTACTTGTGGAATACATTCAACCACTTCTGTTAATCTTAGCCACACCCTCATCTTTGTTACTATGTGTACCTTATTGCTGTAGCATCTCTGACCTTTTATTTCAGTTAGACATATGCTTGCCACCACTTTCTAGGTTCAAAGCTCATTTGGAGCAGGGACTATGACTTGTACTTTTTGGCTTTCTCCAGCACATAGAAGTTAGCTAAAGTGTGGTAAATGAGTAAATGTTTATAATAAGAATCTTTAAACTGGGCCAGGCGTGGTGACTCACATCTGTAATCCCATTACTTTGGGAGGCGGAGGCGGGCAGATCATCTGAGGTCAGGAGTTCAAGATCAGCCTGGACAGCATGGTGAAACTGCATCTCTAGTAAAATAAATAAATAAATAAATACACACACACACACACACAAAAAAAAAAAAAAAAAAAAAAAAAAAAAAAAAAACTTAGCTGGGCATGGTGGTGGGCACCTGTAATCCCAGCTTCTCAGGAAGCTGAGGCAGGAGAGTTGCTTGAACCCAGGAAATGGAGGTTGCAGTGAGCCAAGATTGCACCATTGCACTCCAGCATGGATGACAGAGTGAGATGCCATCTAAAAAGAAAAAAATAGAAGAATCTTTAAACTGCATGTTTCAGATATCTAACTAGCTTTAACAGAGGAAAATATGCTAGTTTAAATAATCAAGGAGCTAGTGGTATTGCTAACTGCAGATATGGCTGGGTCAGGCACTCAGTGAATGCTGTTACAGCCATGTATTAGTCCGTTCTCACACTGCTATAAAGAAATACCAAGACTGGCTAATTTATAAAGGAAAGAAGTTTAATTGACTCACAGTTCCACATGGCTGGGGAGGCCTCAGAAAATTTGTAATCATGACAGAAGGGGAAGCAGGCACCTTCTTCACAAGGCAGCAGAAGAGTGAGCGAAGGGGGAAGACCCCCTTATAAAACCATCAGATCTCGTGAGAACTCACTTATTATCATGAGGACAGCATGGGGGACATGTTCCCATGATGCAATCACCTCCCTTCCGTGACACACGGGAATTATGGGTCCCTCCCTCAACAGGTGGGAATTACAATTTGAGATGAGATTTGGGTGGGAACACAGAGCCAAACCGTAACAGGCCACCATTTTGTCACTTCCTCTCTGTGTTTCTCTTTAATAGTTTCATTCTGCAGGCAGCCCCACATCTTCTTAGCTTATCAGTGGAAAAGTCCTTTTATCACTATCTCTGTCCCAAATTTAGAAAAAGACTCCTGTTGGTTCTGTTTTTATTACATGCATGTCCTTGCAGTAATCAATGTGAACAGCACATTATGATACATGATAGTTTGAGCCCATGAGGAGATGAGCATGGGCCGTGCAGACAGTGGG